TCGTAATTTTCTTATCTAAAATGGTCATAACATAGACAACACTGATCTACACCTCTCATTTTAGTCTATCTTGACCGATTTAAATGGTCATGACTACTGATTCACAATGCTTCAAAATGACTGGTCAGACACATCACCAGTTTTGCTGATGTGGCGTGTCCATGTGTCAAGCCACCTCAACATTGCCTCAGACCTGACATGTGGTACCCGCCAAGCCGATTACGAGCAATTTAAATGGTCATGACTACTAATTCACAATGCTTCAAAACGACTGATCGAACACCTCACCAATTTCGCCTACGTGACGTGTCCATGTGTAGATCCACGTGCATATGTCATGTCCATGTGTTAATTTTATCTTAGGTGTATTACGAATATGGAATCCACGAATCAACCTCCTGCAAGTGACATGCAGGACCCGCCAAGCTGACATGTAGGGCTATCATGTGGTCACAGGAGACAATCAGACAACTGGGATGCGGAATAATAATGAACAAAAAAATGAGGAAAAAATATGGGGGGGTGCACATCCAAGATGCAAAATAATAATGTACTTTTGCAACTGCTTCATGTCCTGTTGTCAAATAATGTTCATTTTTAGAAATTCGTGCACACTTTTTGAATAGGTAAGCATTTTCTTTAAAATTCATGAACATTCTTTTGAATTCACGAACAATTTTTCAAATTAGTGAACATTTTTTAAAATTTGGGAAACCAATTCGAATTTTTGAACATTTCTAAAATTATGTTTTCAATAATTTTGTGAACATATTTTTGAAATCATGAACAATTTTTGAAATTCCGAATTTTATTCAAAGACGCAAAAAAAACAAATTATGGTAAAAGTGGGGCACCCTGCCCTGCACAGCACATGGGCCGGTCCAAATGGACGCACCGGGGATTTTTTTTTGGGGGCGCATTTCTTTGCAGGGACTATTTATCGCATTAAGCGAGTCCACAAGGATATCTAGCGTCGATGTAAAGTGTCGGGCCGGCCCATTTAGCGCGTGTAGATTCAAAAATTCGGGAATAAACGGAGCATGGAATCGAACCCTGGAGCGCAGCTAACCACTCCGCCCACTTATGTTATTGGTTAGTAGTAGGATCAAGATCTACTAGAGGTGACCGAGCCGGTCTTCTCCATTTTTTCTTTTTCTTTTTTTGTTTTCTTTTGTTTCATTTCTTTTTTCTTCTCCGTTTTTTCATTCTTTTTCGTTTCTTTTTTCTCCATTTTTTGTTTGGTTTTCTTTTTTCTTCTCCATTTTTTGTTTTTCTTTTGTGTTCTCTTATGTTTGTTTTCGTTTTCACTCTACATTTTCGTACATGTCAAAAATACTTTTTGTAACAAATGATCAACATTTTTTGTATACACATTCAACATTGTCCCAATGATTTTTCAAAAAAAATTCAAATACTTTTACAACATTTTAATAATTATTGAACATTTTTTTCAAATACTTGTTCAATATTTTTAGTACTTAATCAACATGTTCAAATACTTGTGAGCATGATAAGCTTTTAGGAAAGTGGGGATGCGGAGGAGTTGTGAACATGATAGAACAAGATAAATATCATTGAAATCCTCGAAAATAGAGCTCATATTTATGGTTCAGTGCCAGTGACATTGTACTTTAGCAACTGCTTCATCTTGGATGTCCACCATGTCCTGAGCCTTTGGTGCACCCACCCGCTAGCCGCATCCTCTAATGCTCCACCTACTCTGTCGTCAACCTCTCCATCTTCTGACTCCGGCATTGCCTGGGCCCACATTGCTGCTGCTATTTGGGACTAACGACACTGAATTGCTAATGCACGCCCTGATGTGCTGTGCAGCTGTTGGATGAATGACTTGATAGACATGGATGCAAATAATCATCTTCCCTGTAAAAGAAGGCGCGATGATGATTCGTGGTGTAGATGGTAAATGTATTGATTAATGCAACACCCAAGACACGAGAAATGGTTTAGATTGATTGTCTTCGCGACACGAACATCAAGGAATTGCCTGGTGTGCATATTTTGAGCCGTAAATGTATATCATTTCTATGAGAAGTCCGACATTCAAGATGGCAAATCTTAATTAGAGCCATTCATGAATGGTATATATCATTGTAAGTTTAGTTCAGGCTTCCAAAACTGCTACTGCTGGCTTGTACAGTCTTCCGCTGGGCGTAGGTTCATATTTGTTAGTTAGATTGTTGCCCAAATGTGACAAACGTCTTAATTAGTTTGCTATTCCTTTAGAACATCAGCCTTGTCAAGAAAAAAACACGAAGCTAGCACAATTCACTATCTGAACAACTCATGATTTCTTGATGAATACAGTTGATATAATCTGTTTTTTTAGGAAAAGGCATTCATGGCTAGCTTTATTAACTTAAGTCACACTTACATCGTCTGCTAATAAAGAAAAAATAACTCGGAGCTGTATCCAACCACCACATCGGCGGATTAGACCTCCCAAAACTAGCTAGCTCAGTTAATATAATATGTTACTCCTATTACTTACCTTGATTAGTGTTATGGATATGAAATGGTGCTGTAGCTCAATTGTAGAGCACTTAATCAATAGTTGTTTCTGTTATTGTTTTACTTTTATTTATTATTTTATTTTTCATTTTGGTTTTTCTTATTTTGTTCTTTCTCTTTTAAATTTTTTACCATTGCAACATTTACCAAAGTTGGGAACATTATTTTAAATCATGAACATTTTTTGTTCATCCAAATTCAAAAGCAAATTTATCTAATTCAGAAAATGTTCATCAATTACAAAAATATTTAATCAAATTAAAAATTTACTCATTGAATTCGAAAAATGTTAACCAATTTCAAAAAATGTTAATCCAATTCAGAATGTGTTCCACAAATTCAAAATTTATCATCAAGCGTTCATCATATATTAAAAAATGTTCATCAATTTAAAATTAGTTCATCAAATTGAAAAAAGTCCATCGATTCAAAAATTGTTCATCAAATTTCAAAAGTCTTCATCAAAATTAAAAGAATGTTTAATTTTAGAAATTCATGCACATTTTTGAATATGTAAGCATTGCTTAAAATTCATGAACATTGTTTTTAATTTACGAACATTTTTCAAATTAATGAACATTTCTTAGAAATTTCAAAAATAAATAAATTTATGAACATGTTAATTCCAGTTTTTATAATTTTGTGAACTTTTTTTGAAATCATGAATAATTTTTTAATTTCTAACTTGATTTAAAGAAGGAAAGACAAAAACAAAGAAAATGAATGCGAAAAAAGGGGCACCTTGCCCCGCACCGCACATAGGCCAGCCCAAAAGGGCGCGTGTTGGGAGTGTTTCATCGCTTCCCATCGTGACGTGCAGAGGGCTGGTGGGTCTATCTCTGCTAATTAAACCAAGACGATGCAGGCCGGCAAACAAGATTTTAGGTATCTTCATATTGCTGAACGTATATGGGCTCTTTTATATTTTGCAAAAAAGGATTCAGGTCTATTATAAAAGTGTGTGAGTGCGATGTCTTTGTACTGAATTATATGTTGCTATCAAGAAATATTGGTGTCGCAGTATGTATGCATACCAAATATTAGTCTCATGCCGATTTTATAACCAAAAAACAATTGTCTTTTCTATAACCAGACAAAATTGTTGGAATGTGCCAGATAGATTAACAAAAACACAAAATAAAATAAAGTAAATAAAATTTTAGCAATTTTTGGATTTTAATATATGATAAAGATAAGACCACGGGGCAATAGTTTTCACTAGAGACTTCTCTCTTGAACATAGCATACGGTGGGTAAATAAATTACTATTGGACAATGGATAGAAAAGCGAATAATCATGACAATATCCAACACAATAATCATGTATATATGCATCACGTCCGGTACAAGTACACCGACTCCTGTCTGCATCTATTACTATTGCTCCACACATCGACCGCTATCTAGCATACATCTAGAGTAAAATTCATAAAGAACGGAGTAACGCCTTAAGCAAGATGACATGATGTAGACAAAGTAAATCCAATTAATATGAATAAACCCCATTGTTTTATGCTTAACAGTAATGATACAAATATGTGCCATGTCCGCTTCTATCACTGGGATTGAGCACCGCAAGTTCGAACCCATGACAAATCACCTCTCCCATTGCAAAATCAATCAATCTAGTTGGCCAGACCAAACAGATAGATCGGAGAGAAATACAAAGC